TTAATAAATTTTATTTAAATATTAATAATAAATAATAATTTATTTACCTTTTCTATTGGAGTCATTGAATTAATATTATCTTTTTTTTCTAATATATCTTTATCTTGGTTTGGACCTTCAGCTTTAAGGTTTTTTAAAATATCCTGAGCAGCAATATTAATAACATGCCCAAGACATTTAACTCTATAATTTTCTTCATTAAATAATATTTGTTTTTCTAAACATAATTTAGTAAAATATTCAAACATTTTGTTATTATTAGCAGCATTATCAATTGTAATTGCTAAGATCTATATAAAATAATAAAAAAATTTTATTAATAAATTAAAAAAATTAAAATTATTATTAAAAATAAAATAAACCTTATTTAAAATTTTATAATTTGCCAATATTTCAAATAAAATATTAGCTATGTTTTCTCCTAAATATATGCCTTCTAATTTAACAAATTCAATTGTAATTTGATTCATTTTCTAATTTTTATCTAGCCAATGAGCAGTAATTCCCAAAAATGAATCTTGAACTGGAGAAGTCCAAATGTCAAGAGTTAAAGAAATTTTACAAGATAAATTCTAAAAAATTTAATTAAATTAATTATTTAATAATAAAATAAAATAAAATTAAAAAGTTAAATTAAAATATACTTGTAATTTATTTTTGATTTCTTCTTGTTCAATTTCAAACTTTGACATAATTCTATTTTTAATAGTATCAGCTGAAAATATTTTTGCTCCATTATTAAGATAATCTACTATATCTTTAAATTCATATTCCTCAACAATTGTAAAAGGATGATCATTCATAACAATCCATCTAACTATTTTATCAGTAAATTCTTCTTGTTTATAATTCTATAAAAAAATATATTAATAATTAAAAAATTATTAAATAAAATATAGTAATTTAATATTAAATATTTAAAATTTTATATTTTGATATTTTTTAACTTCCAATTCTGTAAAATTAATTTGATAGATATTTCTAACATGTTTTCGTAAAGTACCAGTTGAATAATCATATAACTTTTTATATTTTTTTCTAATTTAAAAAAAATAATTTTTTTTTTAAATTTTATTTATTAAAATAATTTAAATTTAAATATATAGTATACTATATAATATAAAACTTACGAACAAAGCTTGCACTTAAATTGTTTTGTTCTTCTATTATATCTATAATATTTATAAACAGTCGGAAGTGGTCTATTTGTTTTTTTAGAACTTGGTTGATCATCTATATCTTCAATACTATTTATATCTTTAAAATAAATTTCCATATCTTGAGAACTACTAGATTCAGTAATAGTATCGGTTTCTATATTAGATTCAACAATAGTATCATATTCATAGATATCATTTTCATAGTTATTTTCTTCAATAGTATTATTTTCAAAACTATTATCTTCTATATTAACAGGAGATTGTGACATATTCAAATTTTTTAAAAAGATTAAAGTTTATTAAAATTGATAGATTTATTAAAATTAATTTGTAAAAAATCAAATTTCAAAAATTACAATATTTTTAAAAAAATTTACATATATTATATATTTCTACATCTAATAGATTAGGCAAAAACAAACAACTATAATGATGCATAACACTAAACAGATTAAACAAAAATAAAAAACCGTAATGATGCATAACAGATTAAACAAAAACAAACAAACCCGTAATGATACATAACAATACAAAAGAAAAACTACAAGTCTTATTTAGTAAGATTTGCAGGTTTTTCTTTCACATTACTTAACTATTTTTCGGGATAATAGAATGCATAATATATAACTAGAGAATGTGCATGTGAGCAGCTTCACCGCCCATAATTTTTGAATTTTATTAATCATTAATTATGTGATTTTAGAATAGTCTGTTTACACGTAGTAAGATTATTAAGGTTTAGAGTATAAAAGGAATTAGTTTAAAAAAAAATAAAAAATTTTTTAAATTATTTATTTTGGTTAGTGGAGTTTGTTATGTTGGTCTGTTTAGTGGTAGTGATTCAAGGGCTTCAAGTTCTAAATGTCTATATTCTCTAATCATAGTTTGGTCTGTGATAAAAACAGTGTTATCTAGTGATTGTATTTTTAAATGATTCCAATTAGTGCAGTGGCTTAATACTACATATGCTTGGCCAGGTGTGAATATTTGTTCATTTAGGTTTAGTGATACATCGGAGAGTGTAAGTCCTTGTGTTTTGTGGACAGTTAATGCAAATGCATTTTTTATTGGGAATTGGGTTCGACTAGCAGGTATCTTTTCTATATCTTTAATTCTGAGTTTGTGCATTTTAACGTTTTTGATTGGTCGTATCTAAGCATTATGATTTAATTCTAAGTTTGTGTTTTAACATTTTTGATTTATCTATCTAATTCAGAGTTTAATTTATTTTAATGAGGGAATGTACAATTAACTATAATCATTTAATCATTCAAATAAATTACCAGGGTGAGTACAAAGTTTAATTCAATTCGCTTTAATGATTGTGTTTCAAGGCAATGATTAACCATAATCATTAAATCGTTCAATAAATTACAAAGGTAAGTATGAAGTTTAATTCGATTCACTTTAACGATTGTGCTTCAAGAGAATGTGTGATTATCCATAATCATTTAATCATTCAAATAAATTACCAGGGTGAGTATAAGTTAATTTGATTTGCCTTAACGAATATGTTTCAAGACATTGATTAATCATAATTATTTAATCTTAAATAAAGTACCAGGGTGGGTTGGGTGAGTATGAAATTTAATTTGATTTGCTTTAATGATTGTGGTTCAAGAAAAAGATTAACCACAATCATTCAATCATTTAAATAAATTACCAAATGAGAACAAAGTTTAGTTCAATTCACTTTAATGATTGTAAGACATTAATTAACCATGATTATTCAATCGTTCAAATAAATTTCAAGGGTGAGTACGAAGTTTAAATGATTTGCTTTAACGATTATACTTCAAAACATTGATTAATCAATTATTCAAATAAATAATGTGTGATTAACCGTAATCATTCAATTGTTCAAATGAATTATCAGGGTGAGTACAAAGATTAATTCAATTCGCTTTAACATTTGTTTTTCAAGAGAACGTGTGATTAATCATAATCATTCAATTGTTTAAATAAATTGCCAGAGTGAGAACGAAGTTTAATTCAATTTACTTTAACAATTGTATTTCAAGAGAATGTATGATTACCTGTAATCATTTAATTGTTCAAATAAATCACCAGGGTGAGTACGAAGTTTAAATTGATTCACTTTAATGATTGTGTTTTAAAACATTAATTACAAAGTGAGTATAAAGTTAATTAAATTTGCTTTAACAATAGTGTTTCAAAAGAACATGTAATTAACCATAACCATTCAATTGTTTAATAAATTACTAGGGTAAGTACGAAATTTAATTCAATGATTGTGTTTCAAGAGAACATCATTTAATCATTCAAATAAATCACCAAGGTAGGTATAAAGTTAAATTTGATTGACTTTAACAATTGTGTTTCAAGACATTGATTAACTGTAATCATTCAATCTTTCAAATAAATTACCACAGTGAGTACAAAATTTAATTTGATTTGCTTTAACGATTGTATTTCAAGAGATGTGTAATCAACCTAATCATTTAATAATTTAAATAAATTACCAGGACAAGTATGAGTTTAATTCGATTTGCTTTAATGATTGTGTTTCAAGACATTGATTAATCGTAATAATTCAATCGCTGAGGTGAGTACGAAGTTTAATTTGATTCGCTTTAACAATTGTTTTTCAAGAAAACGTGTGATTAACCGTAATCATTTAAAATTACCAGTGTGAGAATGAAGTTTAATTTGATTTGCTCTAATAATTATATTACATAACATTGTTTAACTATAATTATTCAATCGTTCAATAAATTACCAAGGTGAATATGAAGTTTAATTTTATTCATCTTAACGATTGTGTTTCAAGAGAATGTGTGATTAACCATAATAATAATTCTAATGCAATAAACTCAACTACGACTATATACCATAATCATCAAATAGCAAGTTCTATAATAGAAATTTTTACTTTAAATTATGATAAAAATTGACAATCTTAACTGTAACTATATTAATAAATAATTCTGATTAAACTTATTAAAATTTAATTACATATCGTGCATATTGCAATAAATAACAAATACTATAAAGAATCTTTAACAGAAATTGATTAAACAAATAAGATGGGTGGTGCTTTGCGCTACCTGTTGCACTAGTGCTATTTATGTCGAAGTTACTTGTGAATTTGAAGAATGAAGTATTTATGATAGCTTCTTTGATACAGTAATAAATAATTAAAATAAAAAAATAATTATTAAATAAATAAATAAAAAAAATAAATGATGACAACAAAAGCCAAAAAGGTTAGCAAAATCTTTGCTTTGAACAACTATTTATCTGGTCTTTGACGATCAATGATTATCAATTCATCTACCCTGTAAAAAATCTAGCAAAAAAAAACAAAAAAACTGCTAAAACACACTTTTGAATCTAAACAAAGGCCCAAAAAACAATAAATACGAAGTTCTTTTATTACTATTTGTATCGGATCATGACTTTTTTTTCTTTGCAAATTGAAAGCAAATAATTTTTCTTGTACCTGCACTTGCACTTGTACTTGTACTTTCACTTGTACTTGCTATTATGAATCTATAAGTATTACAAAAATGATGGACGAAAATTTCCTTGCTTAGAATTAGGAGGAAATTTTGTCTATAGATCTTCTGCAGAAAGACATCACAAACTACAAAAAAGTTGTAAAACCTAAACCACTTACAGTACAAAGTCGACACAATCCAATCAACGTATGCACGAATGATTACACCACATACACATATATGAAAAAAATGATCTGGAAAATTGAGAATCTTTAAATATATGTACATATGTATGTACGTACGTACATACATATTAGGAAAATTTTTAAAATTTTCCAACACAATGAATGTGAGTTGCCTTTAACCGAAACTTGTGTAAATATTTATACTATTGTTAAAATAAAACAGTAACACCAAAAAATTATTTTTTATTAAAATTGAATTACACCTAATTCAATATACCAAAATACAATCAACTAAAATAATCCACCCGGCTAGCAGTACATACAAAGAAATTTTGTATTTAAAAGATTACAACACGATCTCCAAAAGTTATTTCCCCTACTCAATATTGCATAGGGTAACATTCACTGGTAAAAAAAATAAAAATTTAACATGTCAAATAGC